TGCCACGTCATCTGATGGCGTTTGTTCATCTGGTTCTAGTTTCGCGATATCATGTGAATCCACTCTAAGAATTGAAAAGGTTTTATTTACAATATGTTTTTTAAATACGATTTGTAATGTATGTGAAACTTTTTGGTTGGAAGAGAAACCATAATATATTAGGACAGCAAAACTACACGCATTGTAGGGCAGGGACAAATGCAATCAGCTCCAATCTTATCAATTACAGAAACACCTAAGTTATTCAGAGAAGGATAAATTCACATTTCGCCGCCGCATCATGCCAAATTCAGGTATTCCGATCAATTACCTTGCCATATAAACTTGTTTGAGCTCGTTCGCACAACTACGCAGCACGTGACGCTTGTTTGTGTGTTTGATGGCCTGAAACTGTGCAAGGATAGGCCAGTACGCAACATATCACAGTTTTATCATCTGGCTGCCATGTTTAGCACCATTTCTCCACACATTCAGGTAGTTCAATCAATTACCTTGCCGTAGGAACTGGTTTGAGTTAATTCGCACAACTACGCAGCACGTGACGCTTGTTTGTGCGTTCGATGGCCTGAAACTGGGTTTAGGGTAGGCCAGTACGCAACATGTCACCGTTTCATCGTCTGGCTGTCTTTTCTAGCACCATTTCTTCACACATTCAGGTAGTTCAATAAATTACCTTGCCATAGGAACTGGTTTGAGTTAATTTGCACAACTACGCAACACGTGACGTTTGTTTGTGCGTTTGCTGGCCTGAATCTGTGCAAGGATAGGCCTGTGCGCAACATGTCAGCTCGCGAACGTCAGGATGCATTTTTTAGCACTATTGCTTCACACTGTTCCCTAATACATCCTATTCCCTAGCCATAGGAACGGGTTTGACCTCGTTCGCACAACTACGCAGCACGTGGCGCATGTTTGTGCGTTTGCTAGCTTGAATCTGTGCAAGGATAGGCCTGTGCGCAACATGTCAGCTCGCCAACGTCTGGATGCTTTTTTTAGCACTATTTCTTCACACAGTTCTCTACTACATCCTATTTTCTAGCCATAGGAACTGGTTTGATCTCGTTCGCACAACTACGCAGCACGTAGCGCATGTTTGTGCGTTTGCTGGCTTGAATCTGTGCAAGGATAGGCCTGTGCGCAACATGCTACTGTTTCAACGTCTGGGTGTTGTTTTTACCTCTATTTCTTCACACATATCCCTAGTACATCCTATTTCCTAGCCATAGGAACTGGTTTGACCTCGGTCACACAACTACGCAGCTCGTGACGCTTGTTTGTGCGTTTGATGACCTGAAACTGTGCAAGGATAGAGCAGTACGCAACATGTCACCGTTTCATCGTATGGATGTCTTTTTTAGCACCCTTTCTTCACACATTTAGGTAATTTAATCAATTACCTTGACATAGGAACTGGTTTGAGTTAATTCGCACAACTACGCAACACGTGACGCGTGTTTGTGCGTTTGATGACCTGAAAGTGTGCAAGGATAGAGCAGTACGCAACATGTCACCGTTTCATCGTATGGATGTCTTTTTTAGCACCCTTTCTTCACAAATTTAGGTAATTTAATCAATTACCTTGACATAGGACTGGTTTGAGTTAATTCGCACAACTACGCAGCACGTGACGCTTGTTTGTGCGTTTGATGCCCTGAAACTGTGCAAGGATAGAGCAGTACGCAACATGTCACCGTTTCATCATATGGATGCCTTTTTTAGCACCCTTTCTTCACACATTTAGGTAATTCAATCAATTACCTTGACATAGGAACTGGATTGAGTTAATTCGCACAACTACGCAGCACGTGACGCTTGTTTGTGCGTGTGATGACCTGAAACTGTGCAAGGATAGGGCAGTACGCAACATGCCACAGTTTCATCCTCTGGTTGTGTTTTTTAGCACCGTTTCTTCACACATTCAGGTAGCTCAATAAATTACCTTGCCATAGGAACTGGTTTGACCTTATTCGCACAACTACGCAGCTCGTGACACTTGTTTGTGCGTTCGATGGCCTGAAACTGTGCAAGGATATGGCAGTACGCAACATGCCACAGTTTCATCATCTGGTTGTGTTTTTTAGCACCGTTTCTTCACACATTCAGGTAGTTCAATGAATTAACTTGCCATAGGAACTGGTTTGACCTCATTCGCACAACTACGCAGCACGTGACGCTTGTTCGTGCGTTTGATGGCCTGAAACTGTGCAAGGATAGGCCAGTACGCAACATGTCACCGTTTCATCGTCTGGTTGACTTTTTTAGCACCATTTATTCACACATTCAGGTAGTTCAATGAATTAAATTTCCGTAGGAACTGGTTTGACCTCATTCGCACAACTACGCAGCACGTGAAGCTTGTTTGTGCGTTCGATGGTCTGAATCTGTGCAAGGATAGGCCAGTACGCAACATGTCACCGTTTCATCGCCTGGTTGTTTTTTTTAGCACCATTTCTTCACACATTCAGGTAGTTCAATCCATTCCCTTGCCATAGGAACTGGTTTGACCTCATTCGCCCAACTGCGCAGCACGTGACGCTTGTTTGTGCGTTCGATGGCCTGAAAATGTGCAAAGATATCCAGTACGCAACATGTCACCGTTTCATCGCCTGTTTGTTTTTTTTAGCACCATTTCTTCACACATTCAGGTATTTCAATCCATTCCCTTGCCATAGGAACTGATTTGAGCTCATTCGCACAACTACACAGCACTAGAATCCAAACGCCGGCAACTCTACATTAGATTCTCGCTTCCCTTGCATAACAATGCATGCAAAACATATCTAGCCTTATGGTAACAGCATGGCACCTTACTAGGTCACAGAAGCAGCACATAGTTCCACTAAAATAAAATAAAAACAAGTCTGTCTGTGATGGCCAGAGAATGAGATGTCAAGTGATACGAACTTCACTTGTATAGCTTGACATGGTGCTGTTTGTAAATTTTTGCAACATCAACCCTGTTTTGCACAATAGTAGAGGAGGTATAGGGGAAGCAAGAGAGCCACTTAATTGATGATGTAGACTACAATCATGGTGTTTGTGAGCGGTAAAATACATAGAAATGTGAGTACATTTGGAGCCATAAAACAACCCAATGTGAGCATTTGGGCCTTCTTTCAGCTGTATGAAGGTAATGAAAACAATGTTCAATCGTTTTCATAAAAAAAAAGCAGCCTTAAAAATTCAGAACACTTAGCCAAATCTGTGTGGCTTCCATTATGGCATCTATTCTGAAATGTATTTTGTATAACCAAATTTTAGTTGTACATGTCCCCATTGCCTTGTTACTGACGACATCTGCACGAGACCTCCCTGCGTCACTTCCGTATAGCGTTGGGGAATGTGGGACCATCTGGACTGTTGCCACGTCACTAGAGCGAACCCTTGTGCACCTGTCAGTTTCGCGTTGTGCCTCGCTAGACGACGAAGGCCTTCAGACACTATATTTTTGCGTGAGTTCTCATTTCGGGCATCTTGAGCGAAATATAGCAGTTGCTCCTGTGTCAGTGCATGGAATTTTCTTACAGCATCGCCGAAGGGAAATGTTATTCGACCAGCAGAATGAACAGTATATCAGACATTCTGAAAAGTTCATACGGATGGCGGGCAGCCGGAACGAGCGCTGCTGACTCAGGCGCTCGTATGAACATTTCAATTTGGTTTTATGCCAGTGATACATTGATGCCTCAGCGACCAATTGGCATCACACATTGACAACCCCACCTAACAACACCAACCAATCACCGAGCACTCTCGTGCCAACACACACCAGCAAAGCAAAAAAGATTGCACAAACCAATCGGTTTATGCAACGTGCTTGTCCTATCGCCACACCAGCGCCAACGAGGCAGAAGTGTGGCCTCATCAGTTGGGCTTCACTTCCACCTCCTGCTTTGCTCCCAATCTCTGAACACTCCCATTTGAGCATGTAAAGCAAGTAGAGCAGGTAATGTCTAGTCTCATTCTCTCGCTAGTGCCTAGTCTCGTTCTCTCGCTAGTGCCTAGTCCCGTTCTGTCGCCGCCAGTGACTGCTTGGTTTCTCGACTGCTTGGTTTCTCGACTGCCTGGTTTCTCGAAGGTCAGCGAAGTCGTCATCTGCCGCATAGCCGTGGTGTCCCAATCAGTTCGTTACCGAGAGTTGAAAGACTACGCTGTGAGTTGTTTCTAGTTTTTCTCTGCCTTTGTTTGTTTGAACGTTGATTATTCCCGTCGCGTTATATTAGATCCTTTCCTCGTTAATTTCGTACCGTATCTGTTTCTGCCTTACAAGTAACTATTCCTCGTTAGCTTGTCACAAGCAGGTACATCGCGATTGGGAGTCTGTGCTTTTCGTCGAACGACCTTCTGCCTTACAAGTAACTAATCCTCGTTAGCTTGTCACGAGCAGGTACATCGCGATCGGGAGTGTGCTTTTCATCGAACGACCTGCTATTGCGCCTATCGTTTTTTTCTTTGAAGCTAACGATACTTCATGTCGTTTCTCAGTGTTCCCAGGTCTGCAGGTAAAACTCGCTTATTGCATGTTAAGGCCCACCCGTTTCCTGTATTACCAATTTTTTGTTTTAAGAACTAACAATCTGCCGTTTGTCGTGCATGTTCACGTCTGGTGCCAGGTTTTCAGAATTCTAGAAATGACAGGTTGTGGGTTTTGACGCATTTTGAAGTCGTCGTATTGTATGCATTCAGCCTGTGAAATGAACGTTGGTCATATGGATATCATGCAGCCTGAATGATTTGAGTTTCTTTTCATGTAACTGCTCCTGATTGTAAATACTATTTATTATAATAGCGCCAATTTGACGCATAAATAGAATATTATGCAATTGAATGAAACGCTGCAACGATAGTAGCGAATAACATAACAGTACTGCTAATATCGGATGTGACGTCTAATACTGTTGCCTATTGGTGACACTAACCCGTAGTAGTAATCGTGCTCATTAGTGTCACAAATTATCTTCACGACTCATTTATATCGTACACGTTTGATTGAAACTAATTCAAGCGGTAACGGTAACCCTACACGTTTCCGAGAAGCGAGGAGCCAACCGCATCGAGCGCGCACACAACTCACACGCACTCCTGAAACTGCCAAACACTGACGTCTTCCCCCCCATCCTCGCCAAATGCTGGGAGGTGAGAAAACTGCCTGGCAATCCCATCCCCGTAACCTGCCTGTGAAACAAACGCGCCAACACAACAATAACGGGCCAAGTATGGCAGTTTAGGTACTAATGCGCGAGGTCACTGTAGCAGAAAAAAAGGGCCGCAAACAACAGTTTACACGCTGCGCGGAAACGGACAGTTTTGGACAATACAACACTCCATTTACGGGGAGCATGGAAAACAACCAATTCAACCCCAAAATTTGTGCCTCAACGTCCCAATACTGCCTAAAACTTTACACACAATTTTCTGATGCAGCGTCAGTCGCCACTAGACGCAGAATACTTGCGTCAAATCATAAACATAGCATCTCACCTCGGGTTGCTGAAGGGACCGACTTTGTTCACGTAGAAAGGCACGCTGTCCCCTTGGCCATATCTATGGTCGCTTGCACTGGCATCCGCGACAATGACGGCAGCCAGGAGGACAGCGGCAAGCACCCTACAACGAGATCTCAACGTCCGAGCCATTCCCGACGAGACCAGACGGCCGAAGTTCTTATAACGGCTACGCAAGACACGACACCCCTTCGAGTACAGATTCCAAGATTTAGCAGGCCTTCGCCTGTACGAAGACCTAAAATAAAAACATATCCTGCAAGCAAGAAGGAATTCAAGCGATTGGTCAATGCCGACGGAAACCTTGTAAGTACGGCACGCTCTCTATTTTCGTTCTCTGATCTGAAGCTGGGTGGGTTCCCCTTTCAGTGTGCGATAAAATGTACGAAGTGGTGGCTGATGGGATTTCGCATCCGTCCCACCCTCTACTGTATTGTATTGGCGAACCGGTGGCTGTCAGTCAGTCGGAGCAAAGCGACGATCCCAAGGGCCTAGCGACAGAAGCGAGGGGACGCAGCGACATCCCCGAGGCGATGGTAACGGTGGTAGCTCGCCGGAAGGTGGAGAGGGGGTTCTTGGAATTCTTCCTGCTTCTGAAACCGTTGACCGAGTCTGCTGATTCGTCGTGACTGGCCGACAGACTCTGGTCGTCAGTGGACCTTTCGGGGTTGAGAGGGAGAGTGTGCCACACGTTACAGTCTGACGGTAGACGGCAAAATAACGGTTTTAGACACTTTACCGCTTGGGACCGCAATGTACACTATCTATCTCGCTAGACTGACGTCCGCTATACTGACATCCGGACTGAAAAAACACGGTCTATAGCAGTTCAATTATGGTTCAGAAGGGTCTATTTAGCCAAATCGAATAAGACACGATTGGCTAGGCAGTTACGCGCGGATCAGTGTCGCAAGAAAAAGGGTATCGATTAAGAAAATACCACCCCACACCCTCGGTGTAGCAAACTATCCTCATGAGAAGTACCTAACCCTTATAGACATGTAATCTGTATCCACTTACGGAAGCTCCAAGTCATCATTCCAAAAGCGATTCAACATCAACCTACTCGTCTACCAATGAAGCACTATATTACGTACAGATGAAGTATTATTTCACGTACTGAGCATTAAATTGCGTACAGAGAGGCATTCTATCGCGTACAAACAAGATCAGAATAAGAGAGCAGACATGGTCCCCCACGGCTTGTTCCTGGCCTGGTTTACAGATTTTAGGGCGTATTCATGGCTTCGTGCCATCCGGTTCATAGCAAGCCTTAGACATCTGGTACAGGCTTGAGAACAAACAGTCGCACGTCATGGCTCGCAACACGAGCGCTCAGCTCTCCAGAAATGGCAGAATTCAATGTTGCTTTCTGCACCACAGAAGGAGCATGGGGTGGAGAAACATAACAGATATCGTGCTGGTGTGTGTGAACGAGTAAACGTATGCATGAGTGTGTGCCTGAGGTATGCGTGTACACGCGCGCGCACGTGTGCACGTGTGTGTGTGTGTGTGTGTGTGTGTGTGTGTGCGCGTAGCGCGTGTGTGTGTGTGTGTGTGTGTGTGTGTGTATGTGTGCGTGCGTGCGTGTGCACGTGTGTGCGTAAGCGCGCGTGTATGCATGTGTGCATGTGAGTGTGATGTGCATGCATGTGTGCATGTGCGTGTGTGCGTTGCAAATGCACGTGTATGTACGTGTGCACACAAATACGACTCTGAAACGAGCGAAGAGTTGGTGAATGAGAGGCTGGGAGAAAGAGCATGGAGGGAAGAGGGGGGTGGGGACTTGAAAGAATGGTGGTTTTGAGACCTCTCACTACCACACACATACGACTCTGAAACGAGCGGGGAGTTGGCGAATGAGAGGCTGGGGGAGCTCGGATGGAGGGAAGAGGGGGGTGGGGACGGGGGAGGGGGGTGAAAGAAGGGCTTTGAGAGGTATGCACAGACCTCCACCAAGTCTGCTGCGCCATAAAGAGAGACTTTGTGTACTTGGGAGAAGTGAAGAAAGGGGGGGAAAGAATGAAATTTGGAAAAAGCTGCTGCTACTCAGTCACTCACCTTCCAGAGGTCTCGCGCATACATCCGCTGCACCGCATTCAGCCCTATTGTCTTCCAGCTGACGGTCACATTCTCGCTCCTCGCACCACGATTCACCAAAGCCACTACTTGCCGACCCTCAGATAGAGGTCCGGCCCAGACCTGCAGGTTGGGCAAGGTCACAAAATAAAAGTGTAAGGTGGAGGCATCTAAAGTGAATTTTCAGAAGCGCATAACTGAAAGTGACCTTTATCACTGAAATGAAAGAAATCATACCACTTAGACGATAAAAATAAGGGGGATTATCACTATTACTCACACCATGGCGTGCAAAAGAGAATTGACCTCACCTCCACCAGGGAGTTATGAGAGAGTTGCACCTTCCGTGCCTGCACTCCCAGTGAATCTGCATCGCACCAATCACAGCACGACACATGTCAGTGGAATGGACGTGTGCATGTACGATAACCTGCTTGAACCACCTCGGAACATCTTGTGAACGTAGGCTAGTTTAACTCTGTGCACCTGCACCCCTTGCTTGGGCGCACCCCTTGCTTGGGCGCACCCCTTGCTTGGGCGCACCCCTTGCTTGGGCGCACCCCTTGCTTGGGCGCACCCCTTGCTTGGGCGCACCCCTTGCTGGGCGCGCACCCCTTGCTTGGGCGCACCCCCCCTTGCTTGGGCACCCCTTGCTTGGGCACACCTCATACAACCTACTTTTGAGTAACAAGCTACAGCATGCACATACAACAGCAAGAGCGCGTATCCTGGATGACAGCAAAGTCTTCGTCATTGCTCAGAATGCTCATCGTCTCATTCGAGCCATAAAAGATGTCGCAGCCGTGTTCTTAATCGAATTAAACCACACCTTCTCAGAACACACGTTTGAGTCGACTCAGAGCGCCTACCCTGGTTGACGGCAATCACTTCATTGTTGCTCAGAAGGCTCATGGTGTCATTCGAGGCAGCAGAGAGATCGCAGCCAATCAGGAGGGGTGCCTGGTGGGAGGGCGTAAGCGGAAGGGGTGTGTACAGGAAGTGCATGGTTTGCAGAATGAGTCCACGATAACCACCAGGAGCAACCTATGAGTTTTGAGACGTCTCAAAAACCTATGAGTTTTGAGACGTCTCAAAAACCTATGAGTTTTGAGACGTCTCCAAAGTTGTACAGGAAGTGCGTGGTTTGCAGAACGAGTCCGTGGTAACCACCAGGCGCAGCCAATGAGGAGAGGCGCCTTGTGGCAGATAGGCGGGTGGGTGGGAGGTTTTAAGTGTAACCTAGAAAAGCTTCACCTTCATGAGCACATGCATGCATGTAGGTAGGTACACGTGAAAACTAGTTGGATCCAAGGACCTGGGAAGAACAACACGCATCCTCACCTTCATGATGCCCTTCCCCCCCCATCTCACCTTCATGATGCCCTTCCCCCCCCATCTCACCTTCATGATGCCCTTCCCCCCCCATCTCACCTTCATGATGCCCTTCCCCCCCCATCTCACCTTCATGATGCCCTTCCCCCCCCATCTCACCTTCATGATGCCCTTCCCCCCCCATCTCACCTTCATGATGCCCTTCCCCCCCCATCTCACCTTCATGATGCCCTTCCCCCCCCATCTCACCTTCATGATGCCCTTCCCCCCCCATCTCACCTTCATGATGCCCTTCCCCCCCCATCTCACCTTCATGATGCCCTTCCCCCCCCATCTCACCTTCATGATGCCCTTCCCCCCCCATCTCACCTTCATGATGCCCTTCCCCCCCCATCTCACCTTCATGATGGCCCTGCCTCACCTTCATGCATGATGTACGCATGTAAGCATGTATACATGAAAAGACGCAGCCTCACCTTCATGATGCCCCACCCTCCCCATCGCACCTTCATGATGGCCCAGAGGCTGAAGTGCACACGATACTCGGACTGCCTCATGCCGCCATTCCCCACCTGCAGCATGTCCGGGTCTGATGGGGGAGAGGGTTGGGAGGAAACGGGGGAGTCATGATGGGGGTTGAGAATAGGAGAAGTGAGAGAGTGTCCATTCCCCACCTGCAGCATGTCCGGGTCTGAAGGACGGGGGATGGGAGGGAGGGGGGAGGTATGTTAGGAGGGAGGTCAGTTCCCCACCTGCAGCATGTCCGGGTCTGATTTGTGGGGGATGGGGGAAAGGGGGGGGTATGTTAGGGCGGAAGTCAGTCCCCACCTGCAGCATGTCCGGGTCTCAAGGGGGTGGGGGGGTGTTTGGGAGGAAGGGTCGGAGGCAGTACGAATCCCAGATGCATGGTGGAGCCATTGAGACAATGTGATTCCCCACCCTGTAGCCCCAAGATTGAAGGTCAGTGAGATGGGCTCATTTTTAACAGCAGGAGGAGGGAAGGGCAGCAAAGGCGGCCAGTTTTGAGAATTCTCAAAAGTGGTTTAGAAAAAAAGCAAACGCGGCAGACCATAGGAGCATGATGTGGCATCAACGCAATTTAGTTGAATGCAGTGAAGTTGAATGTAATCGCCGCCCATTCCAATGTGGATTTGATATACACACCTCCTGTGTTGTGAACCTTTGAATCTCCCTTTGGTACGCACCGTTCCACCCGCCTGGCTTGGCGTATTTGGCCCACTTGTTGTTGATGTCTGCAATGCGCATCATGCTGCAAGAGGGCCACGTGCCACATGCCACATGCCACATGCCACATGCCGCATGCCGCATGCCACATGCCGCATGCCACATGCCACATGCCACGTGCCACATGCCACATGCCACATGCCACATGGCACATGCCACATGCCACATACCACATGGCACATGCATGCACAGACGCAGGGAGGGAGGCAAGGTGTCGTTACTAAGGGAGCATGCACTTGTTTTTAATGTCTGCAATGCGAATCATGCTGCATGTGCCACGTGCAGCGCGCCACATGCATGCACAAAAGCAGGGAGGCAAGGTGTCATTACTGACGGCACATGCACTTGTTGTTCACGTCTGCAATGCGCATCATGTTGCATGTGCCACGAGCATGTGAAGCGCGCCACACACGTGCATGAAGATGGAAGATGGAATTGGTGAGTTTCGACACACGTCCTTCTGTCGCTCCCTTCCTCTCCTTTCCACTCCCATCCTCCCCCTTTTTTCTACTACGCATTCTCACCCTCCTCCCTCTCCAAAAACCTTCACACTCCCCTCTAATATTTCACACTCCCCCAATAACCAATGATCCTTCTCTTCCACTCTTTCACCAACATCCCCCATCACCCCGTCCTCTTCCCTCCCTCCACGGTTCATAAAGCAAGGTGACCGTTGAGTCTAGTAAAAAGGCACCTTCCTCTCCCCTACTCTCCAATTCGTATCCATAATCAGGCTGATAGCACACGTGAGGATACTAGTTCCCTCCACCTAATCCACGTGTCCCATGGCCCTCTCCACCTAATCCACGTGTCCCTCCTCCATCCCCGTGTCCCTCCTCCATTCACACACGTGGAACTCCTCACCTGCTCCACGTGTCCTCAATGTCACGGGTGGTGCGCCACATGTCTGCCACGCCGTACGCCCACAGAGCAGGGAGATCCTGTCCCCTGCAGACAGCAGCACACGTGGCAGACCAAAAGGGAAATGCGTACAATGACTTAATTGGGGAGATTAACAGAGCATGAGTGGAAAGGAGAGAGAGCAGCACTGCTATTCAATTGCTGTGTCCTGGAAGCAAGGCTGCATGTCTCAATGAATATCAGTAACGATGAAAGGTAAATGTTGATTTGACCCAGAAGTCACCTCGTCACTTGTGCGGCATTGGCACTCGAATCTTGTGATCTAAAAGCGTGGCTGCCTAGCTGTTAACAGAAAACGCTCATGAAGGGAAGGACGGAAGTGACTGACTGCGATAAGATACCCTGTGTTTCCTAGCATTACAAACTGCCGCACATGGCACATTTCCAAAATGGACTCCTGTGTGGGGTCACTCCTAGGATCTCTCATCAGCTCTCATCCTTACAATCTCGCTCACCAATAACGTACCGAATCCTGTGTTCGATCAGTCATTATTCTTTCATCCACAAGAGCTCACCATTTGCAGATGGAGAAGAAAATGTCTCTCCCAGTCGCCATGGTTGTGTGTGTAGCTGGGAGAGTGGATTGTCAGGCAAGGGGGGCTCACGTATCCTTCACCCAAATCAGCTCACCATTCACACATGGAGAAGAAAATGCCTCTCCCAGTGGCCTCTAACGCATTGCGCATGGCTGTGTAACTGATGGCAGTGGGAGGCATGGGAGGGAGGGATGGGGGGGATGGGGAATCATGAGGGGCATTGGTGGGGGGAGTATGAGAAGCATGGAGGCATGGAAGTTAAAGGGCATCTTGCATGGTGGCATGCGTTGAAGATGGAAACTGTGGTGGTGGGGGCACGTGCTTTCACCCACCCATACATGCACTAGTTGGTCAGATTAGCACATGATTTGTGAAAGTCAACACTAGTTGGTCAAATTGTCTACCATAAGCCGTTTTCAAAGCGCCAGAATGAGAGTGGTGGGGCTTCCGAGCACGAGTGTAGAGCAACTGCTAGCGACGCGCACCCTACACCACCCGTGCTAGCATACATACCGCTTCACGCTGGGGCTTCCATCGTTGTAGCAGTTGTCGTACTTGAGATAATCCACTCCCTGCCACATCACGTGCACGTGCCACAAGCAAGCAAGGCGAATTCTAAGCAGATATAAGCATGCGCAAGAAGCATGTGGCACAACTGTCGTACTTGAGATAATTCACTTCCTGCCACATGCACGCGCCGCAAGCAAGGAAACATGCACGTACTTCATCGTTTCTCCCTCACAATGAAAGAAGATAACAAAGGTCATAGCTGCCACGTAGACTAGAGTCATGGCAAGTGCTGTTCACTCCGATTCCCTGCCAGGAAGCATGTGCCAGAAGCATGTGCCAGAAGCATGTGCCAGAAGCATGTGCCAGGAAGCATGTGCCACAGTTGCTAGAGAGTGAGCGCATGTGTGCGACACCCACCCATTCAGCAAAGGTTTCAGCATCCACTGCCTCATGCCACAGCGAGCCTGGCTTCAATGCGCACGTGCGTACGCTGGTGGGGGTGGGTGGGTGGAGGGAGCAAGGCACGCAGGTACACACACTAGGGAAAAAGGACTGGTGCCGGAAAATCTTTCAGGGCCCTCCCTCCCTCCGTTTACCACCTCTAGTCCTCTATACCCCTCTTCTGTTTCACCTCTATCACAGTCTGCACTATCCGTTCCGTTTTTTTCCAATGTTCTCTACATGCCATGCCATGTACATGGCATGTTTTTTGAGTCGACTCAAAAGTCACCTCGTTCTCTACACTACATGCCATGTAGTAAATGGCCTTGGCCCCAACAGGTTTGAATTCCCAGCTTGAGCCGCTTGCACTTCATACAATCTGCACAACTGCCCAATCCCACCCACTCACCCAGCGTCAGAGTAGATACCCAGTTTGAGCCCCTTGCTGTGCACATAGCCTCCAAGTCCTATTACCCTCTACCCTGAGCGATCCTTCGCTAAGTCCCTTTTGGGATTGTAACATAAATGACTGAGTTGATAATAGCATGCATACATCGAGTTTATATAAGAATACAGGGGAATACGAAAAGACCTAGACTAGCCATGTACTCTAAGGGGTACATTCCCTTATTACAACCGAATTCAAACTGTGCGGCGCGGGAACCCGTTTCAAACCTGTTCCCGCTCTTTTTACTTCAAATGTTTCTGCCAGCATCGGTCTTGGTCAGACGGTTGCTGCGTCGCTTCGATTCTTCTGACTCCTCGACTTCGTACTCGGTAGAGTCGGCTCCTGCAGCATACAGTAATGCCTTCTCATAAAACTTCATATCGTAACACTCCCCTTCATTCCTGGACGCGGGTGGAGCTGACTCGCTTGACTACTCCGGTGAGGTCAGAGCAGTGTTTGTACTGCTGACGTGGCAGACGCTTGGTGAGAAAGTCTGCTGCCATCTCAGTGGTCGGGCAGTAGGCGAGGTCAACTTTGCCTTGGTCGATTTCGTCCTTGACGAAAAAGTACCGAAGCGCGATGTGCTTCGTGCGGTTCACGAAACCTGGCTTGTTCGCGATCCCGATGGCACTCTGGTTGTCGCAGTGAAGACGAAAGGTGGGCGAAGCTGGAATTTTCGCCTCCTGTAGCAGCTCCTGCAGGTACAGGCCTTCGCGAACTGTTGCTGTCGCGGCGATGTATTCTGCTTCAGCGACGACAGGGCAACCAACTCCTGCTTCTGCGAGTTCCAGGAGATTGGCCCAGTTGGTTCCAAGCGAAAAACGAAGCCGGTTCGGGACCGTCGATTTGCAGGATCAGCTGCATGATCTGCGTCCACGTAGCCGTTGAGGTTGAAGGAGGTGGTTGTCAGCGTGCAGTAGGAGAGCCCAATGTCAGGAGTGGAGATGAAGTACTGCAGGGCGCGTTCCAGGTCCAGCTGGTTCTCAGCTACTGGCTTGCGAGAGTACTGCGCCAGTTGGCTAGCGATGTACGAAAGGTCGGGTCGGCAGGTGACAGAGGCGAATAGCAGGCACCCCAATTTCTGCTGGTACATTTGGAGTCCTGCGGGCGACAGTGGTTTGTTGTCCGGTTTGTAGTTGGTGCTGGGGTTGCGGTAGGGAGTTGAAAGCGGTGCCGGGGAGATGTTGAAGCGTTCCCCTAGCTGTTCCGCGTAGTTGGAGGCTGACAGATGAATTGCTTCTGGCGCGTAAGTGATATTTAACCCCAAAAACTGCTTCACTTCGAGGTTGATGGTAATGTCCACGTGCTGCGCCAGGTTCTCCTGAAACTGATCGAGGAGCTTGTTGCAGGTGCCCGTGTACAGCAGGTCGTCGACGTAGACTGTCAGGAGGATGTAATCACCGCTGAAGTGAAGGCGGTACATTCCCGGGTCGTGCGGGAGCTGTTTGAAGCCGATTTCGAGGAGGATCTTGTGCAGATGCTGCTGCCAGAGGCGAGGCGCCTGCTTGATCCCGTAGAGGGACTTCTTCAGTTGACAGACCCTGGGATCACCTTCTCCGTAGGTGTGCGGCTGCTCCACAAAGATGGTGGCATGTACCAACGCGTACAAAAACGCGTTCTTCACGTCGATCTGTCGCAGTGGCAGGTGCTTCGCGGCGGCAATAGCGAGTAGAATCCGGACTGAAGTGTGGCGGCTGACGGGAGCGAAGGTTTGATCGAAGTCGATGTCGTGGCGCTGATCGTACCCGCGTACGACCCAACGTGCCTTGAAACGCTCGATAGTGCCGTCAGCGTTAGTTTTCAGGCGAAAAACCCACTTCCCGCTGAGCACCCTCCTCCCCTTCACTGCTGCACGATCGACTAGGACCCAGGTGTCGCGAGATTCCAGCGCCTTGAGCTCCGCATCCATCGCGGCACGCCACTCATTGGCGTGAGGACCGGTTAGGGCCTGGCGAGGGTTCTTTGGTTCCACGGCCCGTGCAAGAGTAGAGACGGATGTGTGCAGGCCGAGAAGTTGAAGGCCTGACACATTGGTGGTGTCTGTGGTGGTGGGGACTTCCACCACATCGTCGTCTCCGCTCTCATAGCCGGGTGCCGCGGTGCTTGGCTCTGCTCGGCGCCGTGATGGTCCTGGCGTGGGGTCGTCACCGCTGTCATCGTCGTCGTCG